AGTGGCATTTTTGCAAATGAAAATCCATAAGTGGTATTTTTACAAATATGCACATAAAAAGTGGCATTTTTGCAATTTCTCCATCCATTTTTATAAATGTTTGATATCAATATTAATTTGTTATGTTTAATGTTTTTATAACCGCAGTAGTTTTCTCAAATTAAGCTAAAACTAAAATACTATTGTTTTAAACTTTTGAAAAGAGAAAGTAGTTTTATTCACATCTAAATGGTAATTGGTAAGTCCATATTTGACAAGATTGGTCCAAAGGTCGACTAGGATTTGCCACATTGATTTCCTTTCACATAAACTCTAGAAAGGAACCAGATATCGTTCCATTATCGTCTGTCGATGAAGCGATGATCAGTCGATAGATAGGTCGACGTAGTTGGTTAATTCAAATAACCAACATTGATCGATGCAATTAGTTTAATTGTAAAGAATGAAAATGACAAATAATAAAGAGAAGATGAAGAAAGGACAATAGTTGTAGGTATAAGAACAAGCAACAACGTGGTCCTATCACCTATGCTCTCTCCACGCACCAACCAGTCAATACTCAATTCAATAGCTTTCCCTTACACGACAAATTATATCAATAAATTTCCTTTTTTGGTTTGGACTGGGAAAGACTAACTAAATTATACTCGTACTATAGAAAATCAAATCATTCAAAGTAAATGGAGCGTGGCGAAGTGTGAACGCAAACACCGAGAAAGATCTGAGAGTCAATTCTTCTGGGTGACATGTGCATGTGAACTGTATCAAGACGCGTTTGGGGTTTATCGTTTAATATTCTTTAGCTTTCATGACCAAAGTGTTACTCAAACATTTGCAACACACACATTTTTATTTTTATTCTATAAGACTTAGCTAGAGTCAGTGTATAGAAGAGTCTAGAAGAAGTAGGCCAATTTGGTTTGGTAAATTATGATGACTAATGAGTTTAGCACATTCGTTTGAAAGCAGAGAAAGGAACTTTACGCATGTTTTAAATTAAGAAATTTTCCTTTTTGTCTTTATTTTATATGAGAAAAATCTAAGTTCCTACTACGATTAAGATTGGCATTACATTCTTTTTTCCACCAAACCCTTGACAAAGAAAAAAACTACTACTATGTATTGCGATTAGAAAAGGAAGAGAGAGATACACGTACACACAATAATTATGCAAGGTCAAGTTTTAAGGATGGAGATG